GAACAATTTAATGTATTAGTTTTATTTATCAAAGCTATTTATTTTGTTTGTTGTTCTTTTTAAAGGTTATTTTTGCTTTTGCAGCTGGAACCAAAATGCATACATAAGCCAGTTTAAAACTGCTTAACAGTTTTGTTTTTACTTTTAGTTGCAATAGATTATGCATTGAAATAAAAGATTTACAATAGGTTAATTATAGCTGTGAATGATCTGATCACTGGCCTGCTGCTTGCAGCAACAGATATTATTGGAAGAAATTGAGGGCCCAAAAATCTAATATTGCTTAGGGCCCAGTGAAGGCTCCCAAAGCTTTTGGCAGAATGTATTATGGTCTTAAGGAACCAAAGTCAAATCTTTGGACATAGTTGTAAAAGCTAACTTTGACAAAAAACAGCAATGAGCATCACCAAAGGATTACCACACTCACATTGAAACACGGTAGCGGTCGCATCATGCTCTGTGGCTACTTTTCTCTTGATTGTAGCAGTGCTTTTGTTCTGTTGAATTTGGTTATGAAAAGCTCTAAATTCCAGTCAGTTTAAATCAAAATCATTGAGGGTCTACTAGAAAGCTGAAGATGAAGAGAGATTTTTAATTTTTCAGTGTCAGTGTCTGTAAATATAAATACAAGTTACATGGTTTCATTAGAAGTATATTTTGGACAGGTTAAGAGCTAAATCTGACAACAGCAAAACCCTTTGGGTAGCAGTAGAAATTATTTGTTGGACTTTTACAAGGCAGAGCAACAACTACAATCAAACCCTCTAAATAGAGTTAGAATCCTTCTAAAGAAGACCCAATGATGAAACAATATAGCAATATTTAGATTTAGGGTATGCAAAACGTTTAGTAAAGACTTTTAGATTCTTTTTTCCCAATTTCTCAACACAGACTTGTTTTTCAGGTAAACTGTCCAGAATATGCAACATGCAAGGTGCAAATCTCTTGAAAATATTTATCATCAGCTGTTTCCCTTCACAAAAATGGAGAATTTAAAAGGGTTGTTCAAACACTGGGTTTGAAGCTGGGAGAAATTATTTCAGGTGGAGAGATCAGGCTGTAATCATATCTGTAAAAAACTGTTATGGGGTAATTTTTTTAATCTCCCTAAAAATATGTCACAGACTTCAGAGAATGGAAAAGAATGAGCTCAGACTTCGTAACCTGGCAGACATAATCAAATCATTGTGCGGAGGGCCGAACTTGCATTAAACGCCAGTCTATACATCATACTGTGTATCTAATTTAAGGTTGAGTGGACGGCTCTTTGAAGACGAAGTTTTGAAATCACATTCCAGTTTCCCCTCCCAAACAGCAAATTATGCAGGACGTGTGATTTCGAACTCCGAGTTGGAGCAAATCATTTGCAGACTACTTCACGAGGAGCTTAATAATCTGAGTCGAGGGTTCTGGGATCTGGTTGAAGTATAAACAACGTCCTCATCAATGGGCAATGTAAAGAAAAAAATAATGTTTTTGTGCTGCTCCACCTCAAAAGCATCTACAGATATTATGAGTCCAATAAGAAAGCATAGGAGCGTCTACATCAAAAAAGACCATAATTGGTAACAGTTTGTAAATGCATGTAAGCAAGGTATCATGTAATTACTCCCAGCACAATGGGGATTCTCTGCAGAGCATGCTTGCGTATTAGTTCTCTAACGTCACTGTGGGGCCACTTTTGGAGCCCATCAGATACAGTTTCTAAATACCCAGCCATTACATGTTTTCTTTAACTCTTTAAAACATCTTCCGCCTTACTTCAGCCACAATTACTAAAGGTTATCAAAGAGCATCTATCACCAAACTGTGACCTGAACAAACCCACCCTAACTTCCCTTCCAAAGGTGCCTCAGCGCCTGATTTCTTCCTCATTACAACCCTTAACCCATTTCAGGTTGTTTAAATTAGGCAAGTTTGAAGTCGTCTACCGAGAGCTGCGAGACAGATGATGGGAACGGAGAAGCAGATTTGAAAGATGCTGAATGTAGCTGGCACTTCTTATCTACCACATATTAGCAGCTGAGAAATGGTGTGTGCCATATTCCATTAGCCTGCTGCCGTCCCATCATCGCCTGCCATTCCCTGCAAAAACATGATCCAAATGCAGTCCAGATGTCTCAGCCATCAAGCCTTAATAACTTACTACCCCACATTAATCTTATCATGTGAGTAATGGATTCCTGTCTGATAACATCTCAGCAGGCTTCAAAATATAAGTTCCTTCAGCTGACCAATACTCATTGCCCCCCTTAATGAGCCTCAAGCCTAACTATTAAATCCCTTTAATTCAAATAAAATACTATTTTTAATTTACCCAAAGAAAATCTGTTCTATTATCAGTTTATGTACAATAACTTCTCAACTCTGTTTAATATTATTACCATTCTGTTTTTTTTAGAAAAAGTTGGAGTTCTAAACTGGAAGTGATAAATGGGGAGTATTTTTCATATTTTCCTTGAAATTTCCTTATCTACATCTACATTTTTTTCCACATAACTCAAGCGTGCTCCTTTATCACATCTCTATGATATATGAAGTCTATATTTTCTTAAGAGATGTTTTTGTTTCTGCAGTTCGTAAATGCACTCGGATGTAAAAAAAAAAAAAAAAAAAAAAAAAAAAAAAAGACAAATCCCTGATAATTTACATGGTTACACTGCTTTAGTTTGCCTATTTTTGTTGGGTACGTTTTCTTGAACAATGAATATGTGCAAATTTACCACCAGTAAATATCCCCACTGTAGATATCTGGTAAATCAAAAACTAAGCAACCAAACTGGGCTCAAGTAGAATCTACATCCACATGGAGCTAGATAAGTTATCAGCACAGAAAAGCTGGATGAGCCATAACAGATGTATTGCTTATGGAGGAGGAAAGAAGGTAGAGGAGCTGGGTGTAAACAACAAACCCAGCCTAAAACCACAAACTAAGTAGCTTTAATTTCATTTCATTATATTATACTTACACGATAGTATTTCAAGCCATTTCTATTCATATGACTTTGTTGATATGAGTGGAATTTAATTACGTTTCAAGATGTTCCAAGGAATAAGTGCACTTAGCTGCTTTATGGGGCCCCAGTCCAAAGTGTGTTTGGGTGTGCACTAGCAATAGCACATTTAGATTTCCTCTAAATCTGGGCTAGCAGTTGAATTCGAGTTTGCAGGATACCAACCCTTTTTTTTACCCCTGTAAAAACTACAAAATAAAAGCGGGTCAGAGAAATAACTTTGTGCCTTGGGGGGAATTTTGTATTTAACTGGATTTGTAAATACATCCTGAAGCGTTTTTCACATTTTCACAGTGATGTACTGTAAGCCTCAAATACTTTCACTGGTGAAAAATGACAAAAGGTGCAACATCTTTAAAGGTAATAACTAGTTTTGCACCGACACTGCACTAAATTGGTGGTATCAGTATCGGTGAGTGCTGACAAATAGGGCACCGATACCATTTTGAGAGCCAAAAGTTTATATAACTATTGTCACCCATTCCAGGTAGGCAATAAAAAGGCAGGCAGCAGTTTGACAAAGCCATGATGGCAATTATTTTTACATCCAAGCAGTATGCAGTTCTTCATATATACACACACATCAATTTCAAACAGATGGTATCGGCCAATACTGCACAGCCAGGTATTGGTATTGGGGCCAAAAAATGGCATCGGCGCAACACTAGTAATAACTAGTGTATGTAGCACTCACAATATGCATTATTGTAGTATGTATCTGTCAAATAGCCTTTCACTTTTTGATGTGAAATGTAAAAAAAAAAGATGAATGATACAAGAATCGATATAAAATTAAAACAAAGATTCTGAATCTCAAAACACGCTGCCGTAAGCAACTTAATTTCGTTTTCGTATACACTCGGTGTATACAAAAGGAGAATGAAGTTTGTCTAAGTCTAAAATCCAAACTCCAAAGTGTAAATCTATAAACTCTATCCATTTCTTTTCAGCTTTAAAATTTTATAACATTTGATAACCTTATTTTGCGAACAGAAATGTTCTTATTGGTTAAGCCTCTTTACTTGGCCCCCTAGACATATCTAGGGGGCCACTGTTATGTGGTTGGGGGAGTTGTTGTGTCTTTCGTTAACTGTGATGGTGGTGGTGGGGGGTTCTTTTGTAAGCGCAGGGTGGTGGGGGGACGCTTTCATAAGAGTAGGGTGTGAGGGAGGCTGCTTTCGTAAGGGCAGGGGTTGGAAAGAGGTGGAACTTAAAAAAACAGAAGTCACCTCCAGGATGGACCAGCAGCTCCGCCTCCCATGTTGGGGCTCGTTTTGGCTTTCTTCCCCTTATACTCATCAGCTATTCACTATATCAACACTCCCCTACCTTAATACACTTTTATTTACATTTCTTAACACAAGATGCTGTATCATCATTTTTCTCTACTTCTACTAATATCGTACTTCACTTAATCACTAACAAATTTTAGTCATATTTAAGTTCTGTGGTGTGGGTGACCAAATATCTGCACAGCATACAAATAAAGCTGAGCAGAATTAAAGAGGGTAAATACAGGGAAGTCAATATGTCAGTGAATATATATATTTATAATAGTGGGAATGTTTAGAAAGCAAGTTATAATAAAATAAAAACATGGAATCTTACGTCTAATAGGTCACTTATGAAAGGTAGATCAGTAACGTCAAAGACAGCAGATGCCTCAAATGAAGGTTTTATTTAGAGTTCACATTTTGTACCTCTGTGGTCTAAAAAAAATGGAAGAACCTTATATTTGTTTTTTTGATGAGGTTTCAATTTGTTATAATCCACAAAATAAGGCTTAAGCTTAATATAAACCATGGCAGACTCAAAATAAGTTATAATGTCCCCATTTTTAATGTTTTCTCAAGGTACTCCCTTCAGAGTGATTAAGAATTCACATTTCACTGTACGTGCTTTATACTAGAAAAACTTGGCAACGAGGTCTTTGCTAGATATGTGAAGCCAAGACTGATTTCCACTCTTAAAGAGACTCTAAATGTATAATGTTAAACCATGAGGTCCAAAGGCTGTTTACTCCAGAGGCCAAGGTTACACTGTTTTCCCAAGCTGTCCATCCAGAATCAGTCTTCCTCTGAAGAGAGGTGGGCTCCTTCATCGTGGACCTCTCTGTATGCAGCCATGGGGCCACCGTCAGGAGTGTAGCTCCCCAAAGAGCTCTTCAGTCCTTCAGATAGTTTCTGGGCAGCCTGTTTGGCCTGCAGCTCCTGAAAATAAACCCCCCCAAACAAAAAGACAGCTGACATAAAAAGGCTGGAAACAAAAGACCAGCAGCAAAGCTAGTCGTGTAAAAACCTTCAACTATAAATGATCCAATTTAAGCCAGAAACAGCACACAGGAGTTTGGCCTTGGAGTCCACCCTCTGCCTGTGACAACCTGTGACTCGATGCCACCCTCTAGAGGCGGGGGAAAGGAACTAGAGCTGACTGTGCAATGGTCATCAAATAACTCCAAAAACTAGAAACTTGCAAAAAAAATTCCCACCCCTTTTATTTATTTTTTCTGATTTTGTGAAAAATCAACAGAAAGTAGCAAATAATCATTAAGTGGAAGCAAAAGGATGTAATACTTTGCTTTTTTTAATCGGCAGTGGCAGCTCCAGAGATTTATCTCAGCAGTTGCTAAAGGGGGCTAAGCATTGAACACAACCTGCTATGAATTATCCTTCATTTTTTTTATATACACAGGTAAAAGCAAAACTATAGGTGTGCTCTCTACTCTCAATTCTGGAAAAGTCCACTATGAGGTGGATAATAAATATGAATATGTGGGGTTCAGGGATTCAATTAAAACTCATAGTGACGCATCTATAGAGTATGGTGTAGAATATAAACTTCTAGAATCAATTCACTGTGTTTTATTTCCTCGGATAAAAAAAAAAAATTCAGTGAATTCATTGTGAAATCACCAGCGACATCTAGTGAAGTAGATATACGGTTATTAAACAGCAGATTATAAATACATGTAGAATAACCTGTAATGAATTAGTTAAATGACATACCCAAAATGATTTTTACTTGTATTTTTCTTGTATTGTGTATAGATTAAGCAAAACGGTGTATATGAAATATTAAAGAAAAAAATATTTCACCAAAAAAATAAAAATCTGATAGGGAAAAATCTATAAGCAGTAATTGATAGAAATCAGTTCAATATAAAAGCACCAATTTGATCAATTTAGGACAAATTTTTATCATGGAAAGCTCTGCAATGGTTACACCAGACCATTGTTCGCCCCACATATGTTCAAGTCAAAGAAAAGTTGAGAAACACCAATTGAATATTATGATAGAGATACAAATACTTTGAAATTACAAGACTGTAAATCACTTATGAAATTATGCCCAAAATGACAGAAAATACATTTAAAGTCATTTTAATTACCCTTAAATAACAATAATAACTTAAATAATGTTTGAAAAATTACAGAATAAGTAATTTTTTCTTAAAATATGGTGAGTGCAACTATAGAAGCACTACTAATGTGGCATATTTTTATGCATTTAAACCTGTTATTTTTTAATTGGAAGTGGTATAGCTTTGTGAGGAAAATATCCAACAAGCACATGTTTAAGAATATTAACTTTGATGAAAACCCCCTCTGGCTCTGCCTACGTTTCTTTGAAATGAAAATCAGAAAAAGGACGTCATGCGTTCCTTTAGGCCTTTAACGCTGATATTACCAAGTAAACGACTTGTCTCCACAGCGGGCACTTTAGAGCAGCGTGCTTTTCTGTGAGCGCCAAGGAGGATCTTTACTGAACATGCAGTTGAAACCAGATATCTACATGCACTCAATAAAAACATAAATACACCATTTTACTGTCAGACAGATGCAATCTAAATAACCTTTTTTTTTTGTGGTCTGTTAGAAATAGGGCTGGTCTAGTTAGAAACACTAAAAGTATTTCTCTAAGCTTATTCTGAATAAAGAGAGGCGTGTTATTTCTGATAGCCTATTCTCTAAATCCCTTGAAGGTGCCATGTTTATCCTTTTAAACACTATGTGTCTCTCCAACCATTATCCCACTAAAGAAGGAGAATGGTTTTATTTCTCAGAGATAGAAATCTGAAATGTGCATACCAAACCAAGAACAAAAGCAAAAGACCTAGCGGATAAAGCTAGTATAAGTGTGTCGTTCCGTTTTGAGGTAGATTTCAAGCCTGGGAACAACATCGAAAACGTGAAATCCAGCTGTGGCAGCGTCGCGTTGCATGTTTTTTTTGCTGCATGAGGGATTTAACCCAACTTTCAGCTCAACTTTATTAATAAAGCCCTTTAAAACAACCACAGCTCCTACAAAGCGCTGAGCAGTTTCCATTATTTATATCAGCTTAGGACAACCCTAAACAGACACCTAATCTGAGAAATTTGGTGTTAAGAAATGAGTCACTGAAATGTGCTAATAAGGTGTAGCCTCAGTTGTTCTTTTGCCAAATTTGTAAATTTTCCCCATATCACCTTTTTATGCGACAAAAGCATAAATGTAGTTTAAACTGAGCATTATTTATAACTAAAGTAAAAGTAGTGCAAAGAAAACGAAGGCTGCATCTTAACAGACCTGCTGTTTCTTTGTCTGTTCTCTGACGAGTGCAGCCGACTCGTCTAAAGACAGAAGCTGTGCTGGACTGTGACGAAGCGGAGGGAGTTTAGCTGAAGTGATGTCATCCAGGTGCTTCCTGTCACGTTCCCTCCTGGCCTGAGCAGAGAGCGGAGACGCAGTCCCAGAGGCCCGCCCAGGAGACAAAGATCCCAATGGAGAGCCATCATTTCTGTGGGGTAGTCTGGACAATATGGAGGAGAACGCGATAACTATTCATTCATTTTGCAGGAGGATTGCATAATATGGGAAAGTGACACAGTAAGCTCTTACTGATTGGGTTTAAATTTTTGCTTCTTAGTTGCTGCAGACACCTCTGTTTTTTCTAGAACTGTTATATAGTTGGGTTTTTTAGCTGTCTGTTTTCGAGAAAAGTAATTATCTTCTGATTCGCTGTTCATTTGTTCTTTACAGTCACCAGAACCTTCTTCATACAGTGTAACTCTGTCCAAGGCTTGCACAAGTTCACTTTCTTTGGACTCCATTTTCCCTGCTGTGGAGTCACACTGCTTGTCCACAGCGTTGTTTTCCTGTTCCTGTGTATCATCCCCTGCAGGACCTTCATTTTCTTCATCTAGGCACAAAGCTTCTGGGGTAAAGGGTACAGCACGTTGCTGGCCTGAGAAGGCTTGCTGATACTTGGACTGTAACTGGGCTCTGGCAGCAGACACCAATCTCTGTCTTCTTTCCTCTTCATCTCGCTGTTCAATGGCAAGGCGGACCTTCTCTGCAAACTCTTTGATCTTTTGTCCTTTGTCGGGGAGAGTCCGCAGCAATCTCCTACATAACAAGAAATATTTGTTATTCTGCTTTATCTCAACCCATCAGTCTATATACAAGGATAAGAAAGATTTTTGATATTACATACATAAGGATATTTTTCATATTTCTACCCATTTTAAAACATTAAAACAGATCTAATTTATAGCAAAGCTTTCTTCATTTGATGGCTTTAAATGTAAACCCTTGGAAAGATGAATAAATTAAAATATGAAATAACATGGATGGATGGATGGATGGATGGATGGATGGATGGATGGATGGATGGATGGATGGATGGATGGATGGATGGATGGATGGATGGATGGACGGACGGAAGGGTGGATGGATTGACGGACAGATGAATGGATGAATGGATGGATGGATGGATGAACGGATGGAAGGGTGGATGGATTGACTGACAGAAGGATGGATGGATGGATGGATGGATGGATGGATGGATGGACAGACGGACGGACGGACGGACGGACGGGTGGATGGATTGACTGACAGAAGGATGGATGGATGGATGGATGGATGGACAGACGGACGGACGGAAGGGTGGATGGATTGACGGACAGATGGATTGACGGACGGACGGATGAATGGATGGATGGATGGATTATCCCTAAAGTGTGATGCAAAACTGAACATAACTACATTATAACTTTCCTTTAGAACTCCATCCACCTTTTTAACGAAGGTATATTGTCCCCATTCCTAACGTGGAAAATTCTTTCATCTGTCTGCTTCCCTTTTACTAACCTTTAGTATTATGGTTTGTTGTATAGTTGATATGAGCTCAGTAATCCATATTTTGTAGAGTTTAATACACAGCTACCCGGGTAAAGGCAACAGTTAGAACAGGAGCGGACTGTTTAATTAGGCCAACCCTACCAAAGTTTCTATGTAAAGCTGCCGGCCGTCCACTGCTTTACTTACTTGTTAGAAAGGATGTTCTCCTGCCGGAGCAGTAGCTCCTGGAGCTCCTCTATGCTGCGGGTCCTCAGATCTCCAACCTGTCCCTGCCGCTCTGAGGACATCGCTGCTGTTAGCTACTGACAGCTATTACCTAACATCGGATCCGGTTTTGATTCCCATGACAAGATGTACAGAATATAAAATAGAAAATGTGAGATAGTACAGTTTGGTTTTTTGCCGATAAAAATTCCAAGAAACCGCCTGAGAGTGAAGTTTCACTTCAGTCAATACTGACACATTTGAAAGTAGAGTCCTTTGTCTTCTTCGTGTCAGGAAGTGAAGTGTTCTAGTCAGCTCTAGCGCCCCCTACCGGTAAACACATCCATCCATCCATCCATACGCATGTCTGGAGTGGGGTCGCGAGCGGTCTTCTTCTTCTTTTCCGTTATGGCGGATCGAAAACAACTAAAAGGCGCATACCGCCCCCTAAAGTACATGAGTGTGTAGCAACATTACTTTACATCAAATTCCATTTTTCTATTGTGTATTCTTTAGATAAATAAATAATGCTTTGCTCAATCTGTGAATATCCTTTATATTTGCTTAATTTCCCAATATTCCTTTAGGACTCCAGTCTTGTCCTGTCCTTCCAACCATCCTTCTCAATTTCTCCCTTTCATGTTCATAAGTTGTACAATTTATCAGTAAATGTTCTATATTTTCTTTTTCTCCACATCCTTCACATTTATAATTATTCCCTATTAAATATGAATTTGCATTTAAATAGGTATGACCCACGCTTAATCTGATGATTATTACTTCATACTTACTCTTATTAAGTGATTTACCTTCCCCTGTCCCAAAAGGAATTGTAATGGTTATTGTTCCCTCTGAAGCCCTTTTTGCTAATATATCTGCCTTTTCATTGCCTTTTACACCTTCATGTGCTGGAACCCAACATCACCAAATAGCAATGCCACCCCCTATATAATCTAAATAGACTGTGCTGGAGTTGTAATACTAAATCTTTTCTATCATTTCCTTCTCCCTGAATACTTCTAAAACTGCTTTGGAATCTATATATGTACCAATCTCTGGCTGTCTACAGGCAAGAGGTGGGGTATGCTCTGGATAGGCCGCCACTTCATCACAGGGCAACACGCATACATACTAAGTGTTAATTCAAAGGGAAAAGAAGCTTTTTACAGCCTTCTTCCAGCCAAAATTAGTTAGCAGCACTGAGGTCTCCCTGCCTATGTGGATCGTCATTAATTTGAGCAAAAATTGAGGCATTTTTTCTTATATCTGCATACAATTTTTCAAAAACATTCATACATGAAGCCATTTTTGGTTATTTCACATTTTTCTGTGAGCTCATCTTTTTTCACTTATAAAAGTAAGATTGTTTTTGTTTGAAAGTATGAAATACAAACCAAATACAATCACATTGTATTACTCCCACAAAAAGTATGAGAACAAATATTTAAAGACAAGTCATTTTTCATTCCCCTTTGCATCTAGATCTAAGCTAAACAGAGTTTTCTCTCTTTTCAGTTTATGAATTTGGATATTACCTCTTTCTAAATATTATCATAGCTGTGTTAAAATCAAATAAATCAGCAAATATATCCGCTAACTGATTGTGTCACTTTATCTAAAATACTAACATCTCCTTGAATAAATAGATTTAAAAAAAAAACTGTGGGTTAGGGTTAGATTTTTGTGCAGTCAACTATACTTTAAGGCTTGCAAAAACAAAAGGAAATGCACAGAATTTAAAGAAAGAGCATGTGTGAGTAAGTAGCTAAATTGGTAGTTTATACATACCAAACAAAATGCTTCTTGAAGTTTATTGTACAGCGTGTGGAAAAGTCTTTGTTGTCACTCTTGTAAGAGCAAAGTATTCTTATGCATTGCTCAGGAAGGACTAAGGGAAGGATGAGTAGACCTGAATGAGGCTTGGCTAAAGCACAAAGAAACTGATAAAGCCAGAGGAAAATATAAAAACATATTTAAAAGAAACTCGTACAAATGTGCAATGTCACATCATCACATCATCCACAATAGAGGAGACGAAATACCCTGGTCCCCAAACCTAATCCCTCGTTTGCTCCAAAAAATCGTTTCCCTGAGAGAGGGTAACCTTCCAGTGTCCAACATGCACTGGTACCAGGTCCAGCTTACTGCCGGCAATGTGAACCAAACTCCTGCTCAGCTTGTGTGACAAGATGGCCTCAAGTATAAGTCTCAGACTCAGTACTCCTAGAGCGCCCTCCTCCACAGGGCACCATCAGGGATATGGTTGAATGCCTTCTCCAGGACCACAAACACATGTTGACTGATTGTCCAAACTCCCATGAATCCATAAGCATCCTGCAGAGGGTGTAGAGTTGATACAGTGTTCACCCTGCACTTCCAGAAGCCAAGGTTTAATAATCAGCCAGACTCTCCTCTCTAGAAAACTGGCACATGAGGCTCAACCAGGAGGCTGAGAAGATCCCCCTTTGGTTCACTGTTCTTCTCAAGGGGAACCACTGCCCCTCTCGGCCAGTCCAGACTATGTTGATGGAAATTATTGCAACAGAAACAGAACTAAACTCTAATTTCCAATCAAAACTAGACTACTGACAGTCAGGGTCTCAGGGGGGCTGGTGCCTAACTCCAACAGCCTGAGTGCAAAAAGCAAGGTAAGGTCATCAGTATACCTACAGTAAGGCAATGTAGAGGCATCAATAAACCTAATAGTCATGTTTTTGGAGTTTGGGAGGAAGCCACCCATATGTACCCAGGGATAAGATGCAAAATCCATGCAGAAAGACCCTAAGCCAGAGACCGAACCCATGACCTTACTGCAAGGAAAATTGCGCTACAAACAATCCACCATGCAGCCCTCTGTTTTGTCTTGACATTGTCAACATGTCATAGTTGTTTTCCTAGTCAATGCAGGGGGGGGGGTGTCTTTCAGAAAAAGCAGGTGGAGCCTTACCACACAGTGCAACTATTTCATGTATTTTGGTCACAACCGAAACATGTCTATTTGACAACACAAGCATGTTTCATGGCTGAGTCATGTTATTGGAAGCAAGACAAAAAACACAACACCTTTTTTTTTTTTTTTTTTTATAAAAGATAAACAACACATCTCTAACCATTGTTTCCAGTGTGGGGACCTGGAGAAATAACTACAAAGAACTCTACATCTAATTGCACACTGCGGAAAAAGCAATAACGGAAATTAAAAAATAAGATCGTAGAACCTTAAAACCAATTAATTGTAAAAACATGTACAAGCAAATTTATGGATTTGGTAAAATGGTAAATAGCTATTTGAAAGATGAAGGACACATGAGAATTGTTAAACATAGGATATAAGATGATCTATGAATCCATGGCTTGATGAATTATTTAAACATGTATTTCAGTATGTACGTTAGCAAAGAAATGAAATAATTGGAACAAAATCAGTTAAAGAGTATAACCTGGTGGAATGTATAATCCTCACAATTAACTAGTAAAAAAAAAAATATGTGACAAGTATGTGGCAATGCTGTTTAGGGCGATTAATGTCTACATGTTTCTTTCTATGCTGTGTGAACAGTGAAACCAGTCTGAAGGTTTCCAGCCTTACAGCCTCAGATTTTCCACAGCTGCATTTCCTGTCCGGATGTTTTCCAGCCACTGAGCCAAAACATTTCTCATTTAGCTCTGCTGACAATGGCCAACACTTTAACCGAGAAGTCACAGCTGTATCCTTTTCAAGTAGTGTCAACGGTCAGAATCTGTTGAAATAATCTCCTTTCTTTTATTATTGTGATTGCAAAGTAAAAAAAAAAAAACTCACGTAAATCATGTTAAACATGATAAAGAATGTATTTGTTATGTATTTATTGTGCAACATGTGAATAATGTCCTTTTTAAAAACACAGGCCTGTTTAGCACTTTAATGCTCCCATATTTAAAAACGCTAACCACTTACCAACATCACAGGAATCAGCAGACATGCAAGACGTCGTTCGCAATTTAATCATATTTATTAGTGCACAAAAGATACACCTTTTTTAATATATTGTTGGGCCCGTTTTCCGGGAAAATGGCATGTTGCGGGGACTGGTGCCTGGACCCCACATGAGGAATTGCAGTTTTAGAGTCAGCGGGTATGTTTAGGACTAAGGTGTGAATTGAGTTTAGGTTGGGATCAGTGTGAGGGTTCTGGTTAGGCTATGGAAATTAATGGAAGTCAATGGAAAGGCCCTGCAAAGACAGTGAGGCAAGTTTGTGTGTGTGTTTTTTAAGATGATATTTGAGGTCATATTGTTGAGCATTTTACTGCACTCGTGCATTACAATTGTTCTTCACTCTTTTGTTTTAATTTAGTTGTTTATCTTAAACATATTTTGATATAAAATGTTTCTAAGAATTCCGCAACAAAAATTTTACCTTAAAATGGCCTCATTTGATACAGGCTACAATAGAATGGGAATGATGAGGGTTAAATGATGAAAACTGTGACCCGACCTATTTATGTAACACACTGCCAGTTCCTGAAACAAGTTGATGTCCTTAATTCAGTTTCCTATACTGTCTAGTATTGCCATTCTGTCTAGTATTGCCCAGGTTGTCTTGAAGCTTTTGAGTGAAATCTTAACATTGGTCGGATTTAAGACACCGATTATTTTATATATTTATGTTTTGTGCAGAGTAAAATTCAGAGTCTATGAAGTAAAGAGTTTATTTGTTTATTTAAAATGTATATTGATCCTTCTATGTAAATGCTCATTTTAAATCAGTACCAAAACGGTGTTCACCTCATTTTATCGCCGGATTTAAGGTTGTTTTGGTACATTGTCAAGATAGTCAGGAAAGTTTGTCATCTCCGTCATTTAAAAATATATTGTCATTAGTCACGCTAAGTCTTATATGAACTTACACACCAAAGGTGGGAGGTACTGCTGGGGGCTCAGAGAATGGCAGTCACTTTATTATTTAAAAAGTCACAACAAAGCCATAATATTGAAAAAAGTCTATAACCCTGTTGTCATAACAGATATTTTGCTCCACCACCATTCACAGACAATAGGGAATACCCACAAAGGCACATTGCAAGTTAATAAATATTATTTACACAGTACGAACATAGCAAAATATATCATTTCATATGTACAAAGCAAATATAAAACATTTACATAAAACAAATAATAACCATTTCAATCCTAAACCATGAAAGAAGTTATTGCTCAGTGAGCAATGGGGCGACATTCACTTCATATAACACGTCAGAAAAAAAAAAAAATTAATTCAGTTAATTACACCACATTGAAATTAAAATGTAAAACATCCTCAATAGTACACTTTTTCTATCATCCCTGTAAGAGAAAACAAGGATTTTAACTATCACCATTGTAATTTTAAAAATATCAAATAAAATTTGAAAGTGTTTTCCAGCACAACATGGTATTTTATTATCAGCTGTAAATTCAATTTACTTCATTTTAGTCCAACTTCCCAACACATGCATTTAGTAGCTATGCTTATGGTTAGCCATATCTATTTTAGCAGGACATTTTGAGACAAGGAGAATTATTTAGTTAGTGTGTTTAGTTCAAATGTCCACCCACCGATGTTTGTTTGATCAAAATGATCTCACATTTTTTTTGTGTCATCATCCAAATGAAACTGATAAATGAAAAATGTGTTACATGGTTTATACTGTGTGATAGCTTCATAAATGGGTTAAATAACCATATTGTTTGTGTGACCTGTTTTAAAGAACTTTAGCCACATATATTTTGAATAATAGGCAGTGAGTTGTCACTCCAAATAAGTTTACATACAGTTCAGACCAAAGTTACCTATAATACTTCCAGACTTTGGTTAAATTTAAACACAGTGCTTGTTTCTGATTGGAAAACACACTTCATCAGATAAAATTTATTGTAAAAGGAGATGTCTTTATTTAGAAAACAATTTATTTCTTTACTTTCATAAAAAAATTACATGTTGGCGGTTTTAACAACCCTCTGTATTATAAAAACAAACTTTTTAAACCCTTCTTTAAGTTACTGACCGGCTTTTGCATTTGCATTTGATGTTAATAATTTACCCTTTAAAGTTTTTAATGTTTTAGATTTAAAGATTTTTTGCCATCACTTTAACGGTATGAATCCCTCCACGTACTCTGCATATTGAAGTTCAGATTTAGGCTGGGCCTCTTCAAAACATTCCTCATAATCTTAAAAAAAGATGCTGGTAAAATTATAAGATTACTTCAAATCTAGTAAATCTGCTACCATGAAAGACATAAAGAACACTGAGTCTATCTGTAGATGACTGGAATCAAAAGAGGTCTGATAAGTTTTTTTTTTATTATTCAAATCAGAAAAAAACAAACAATGCAATAAATCAAATAAAATGAAAAAAAAAAATAGCTTCATTATTTCCCAATATGAACCCTTTAAGTCGATGAGTGTTTGTCTTTATGGTTCTGTCCAATCAGTGTCATGAAGGGCGAGTAAACTTGTAATCTTGTTCTTGGTCGAGAAGACGACATGGATGATGAAGTGGACTGTTGTTTACTTTGTGTAGTGTCTGTTTTCGGTTTTGCATCCACCTCGTCTGACTTGACGGGACTCAGAACGGGATCAGACTCAGACGAGTAAACACCATTTACTGCTGCCATGTTGGACTGCAGGAACTGACTATACTGACCAGGAGAATACCTTAATAAACTGTTTTCTAGTCTGCTGGGTGGAGGGTTAGTAGAGCTGAATGTCCTTGGATGGATGGGCTTTGTTAGGCTGAATGATGAATGTTGGAAGGAGGAAAGATTTGAAGAAGACGAAGACCATTGTGTGGGTGATGAAGGATCTGTGGGTGAGAGAGGTTGAGGAGGTGATGTTGCATTAACTGGTGATGAAGGCTGGAAAAACGATGAAGGTTCAACGAATGATGTAGGTTGGACAGGTGATGTAGGTTGGACGGGGGATGTAGGTTGGACAGGTGATGTAGGTCGGACAGGTGATGTAGGTCGGACAGGTGATGTAGGTTGGACAGGTGATGTAGGTTGGGTGGAATGAAGATGAACAGGTTCGACAACATTCCTCTTTACTTCGTGTCTGCAGTTGCACAGTCAGACATCAGAATTAGAAACCAGTTTAGAACAAAGAACCAAATGCAACCCTTAGGCAAATCCACCTGTTGACTCCTACCTGGGGAGCAGATCACAGCCTACTCCTATGTCTCGTCTTTCCAAACTTTCTTGAGGCCTATTCTGTGTGGACATAAAATACTTCAGCTTGTCTTCTAATTCATTATTCTAGGAAAAAGGAAAGAGGAAAGAGCTCCGTCAGATCAGCATCATGCAAAGGACAGCAGTCACTTTACATGGGAAAGGGTGATTTGATAGGAATAGTGATGCAGGGAAAACGTATAGTCATTGCTGAAAGGTCGTGATATCCTGTGCTCATCAGGTCAGCAAAAAAAATTTTGTAGCCATGCAGAAGGATACCGCACCACACCTTCATTTAAACATAGAATACAGGACTTTAAACTTGTCATAGCCTTACCTCACACTCCACTATTGCAATTCTGTCCAAAAGGTCTGAGATAAACATGTCCTTCTGGGCAACTTGAGATCGTAGAGCTTGAACCTGCGCAGAATTACATAATTAGAGCCTTGCTTTGAAATCATCAACAGACTTTTTCTTAATTGCCACGAAAATCAGCCTCTTTGAAATATGGCATTATGTTCTAGTAGCTTTGTCATGTATCCTTTATTTTCACAATATCTGACTAATTAGATCATCTTTTTGACATTTTTATTAAGATCCCTACTTCTCTAGAGCAATGCTAAGTTAATGTCTTTTAAAGTAACAACAATTTTTGATACCTTTGATCCTGTTTATTCAGTTTCAGAAGGTTGTATTAAGGTTTCATTTTTTTTTTTTTTTTACAAATCTGCTATTTTAGTTTATGCACACCAGCTCATCTACCATACCCTGCTGGAACAAGGTGTAACAGGATCAACTGTTTGTCTTCAGAATTACATCAGTTTTTCTTTGCACAGTTCAACAATGTAAAAAAAAAAAAACTGAACAGGTTTATCTAATAAAGTAGTATGTTTCTTTTTTGTTTGTTTGTTGTCTATGGCTATCATAAGTAGAAAGTGATTTCTAATGCATGGAAATGAGCTATAAAAAGAAAAAAGAAATTCTCCTCACTTCCTCTATCATTCCTTTGACTTTCCTCTGCTGGCAGAACACCATGTCGTTTAAGTGTTTAATTCTCTCACGAAGTTCCACGGCTTCTTCTTGCAGCTGCTTAGACCTAAAATAAATGGGAGTTAAAATTTAAAGCAGGACTTTCATAAACATTAGGTCTTTATATTGCCTTTCAAAAGCCCACATTTTGATCATCTCTGATAGCTTTTCAATACAAATTATTATAATGCCTGAGGTAGAGCTAAATAACTTTCCCCAGGATTCTTGAGGAGCCTGAGGCTGTGTCCAGCGAGATATCCTGCAGTGCTTTGTTGCACCAGCAGAGACAATAACTCAAGAAGAAGAGATTACAATGGTTCTTTTTATATCTTTAATTTGTCACAAAAAGATGCTTTAAGAAGTTTTAAAGGTCCTGCTAATTGTCAGTCATTCTGCTAATATGTTTACTTAAGACCATCCTACATACTCGTCCCCATTTTTACTTACCCATTTTTACATTCATAACTTCATACTTCTTTGTTTTACACTCATCTTACTTAAAGTAAGCTTGTATGAGTGATGTGAACAGCAGCTTTTAAACAGAGTGTGCACGAGGTGCTCCTGCATGCTCTTGCACATGTTTAATAGGCGTTCCCTCTTAGGAGCGGATGCAGGGTTGAGCATGTGCATTTTTTTTTTAAGTGGAGAGGGTGGGTCTTTTCAAAAATTTGCAAAAATGTTCCATTATACCTTTAAGCTAGAAAATAAATGTCATCTTTGTACTGATTTCATCAAGAATTACCCTACTTTTTGTTGTGGAGTATGCAGAGCAGCAGGGCTCAGTGCTGTCATGCAGTTGGCTCCAGTGGGTGCTGGAAAGAGGTTCACTGCTGTAAACTCAGCAAGTCTGTTGTTTATTTCAGATAAATTTTGTCACAAAAAGTAATTTTAAAAATGTTTCTATGTAAAAAGGGCAAAATTGAAAACCTGATCTGTAAAGTCAGTGGATCAGGATTATAAGCCTAATTTTAAATGTGCTTAAGGAGCAGCAAAGCTCCTGGGTAGCACTGGGAAACTGGAGTTACTGTAGCCTTAACTCAGCCAGGCTCTGCAAAATTTCCAACCACCTGTTTGGAGCAGCTGAACCTGAATATTAGCATTTATTAGTTATGTGGTAAACACTGCAAGCACTGAATATAAAACAAACTTTTGGGCTGGAATGTTTTGACATTTTAAGTTACAGCAGGTTTCAGTTATAAAGTTTCACCACAATATTTTGATGGAGTAACTGAATAATGATTTAACAGACAACTTTCACTTTCACACATTCTCCTTACTGGGTTTTCATGTAAACCTAACTAAGTGGATTATGATCTCTTTAACTGTTTTATGGTTTTATGCTGAGACTTCTGCAGGAGGAGAGATTGTGGTTTGGATGACTGCAAGCTCTTGGAGATCCTCTTTCGAGTCCTGTCATTGTTGAATCCATCATCTACAACCTATGCTTGATATGGATATCTGCTTATAATCAGACATTCAAATGATCAATTCCTTGCACCTTAGGACTGAACTAATAGATAACATAATTTCATTAAAAAAAAGGACAAATATGGCGCCACTTAATATGTTTGCAACTGAGGCAAGATGCATAAAATATTTAATGTTAAATAACGATCTCAACTTTTCCTGCTTAAGGATCTAATTAGCTTAGTAATGAAAGGAATTAAGCATAACTCTCAAGTGGTTTATCTTTTCTTATTTATCATTTAAAAGAGCAACAGCAAAAATAGTGTATTTCAAAGGGTGTAAACAGAGTGTTATGATTAGTCTATATGGGGCTGGGATTAAAGTGTAAAACCAGTTCTGCATTCTTAGTACCGCCACCAGATGGACGGAAAGTGAATCCAGTTTTTTTCTGGGCTGATCCAAATAAATGTCTTGCGACATTTATGGAATGATGAGAACAACACGCTGACAAATTACCCAGCATCACTTTAAGTTTAAAAATAAAATGACTGCACGGACTTTTATTGAAAAAGGGACTAATGCAAATTACAGATTTTTTTTTTTTTTTAAGAAACCTGGCCAATCAGCACTACTTCCACAGGGAAAAAAAGAATTGAAAACTGTAGAATAAGTAATTAAAGAATAAGTAGTGTCACATTTTTACCTCTTGGCTGCAGCTGCATCCGTTTTGTCTGTCCGCTCTAACATGCGAATACGCTGCTCGTAATCCTGCAGTTTCTGCTGGAGTTGACTCTTCTCCTGTGAATTATTTTAAGTTTTTTTTTTTTTTTTTTTTAAAGAGGCCAAACAGAAATAACAGTAAAACAGTAAAGCTTGAAAAGGTTGCCTCACTTTCCCCATGCAGCTCAGGAGACGTTCAACTTCAGTGATCCGCTGGTCTTTTTCAGCAATCTGTGCCTCTGCTGCTCTCAGTTTCCTTTCTGTTTCCTCCAGTCGCCTCATGTAATCATCAAGTTGGACCTGTGTGAACGGAAAACTTTGATCAATTGATGCAGAATGCCGTTTTTATGGTTATTTCAAGGTAAATTCTTGAGACTGGAACAATGTGATCCAATCAAAGCAGTTACAGTATCTAATGTATATGAGAATGCCAACCTGTAGTTTTTCTATCTCTTCTCTGTGTTCCTGTTGTTCCCTCAGCAGCTTTTCTTCGTACTCCTTCTGGAGCTTTGCAGAGAGATCCTGCATGGCGCGGGTGTTGGCCTCATGTGAAGATTCAACCTGGACAGCCACAGCATAGCAAATTTAAGACTTCTCTCAGCAAATGGGAACATATTAACCCTGAGCTGGAAGATGCAGTTAAAGATAGTCCTTTGTTATAGAATAAATACTGCCATCCAAGCTTTGATATCATGATAACCTCCTGCAGAGAAACTCTATATGTGCAGCATCTATGTGTTTGGCAGCTGGCATTTATTGCAAACAATGCTTTACATATTCTCCCATCAGGGTGCTCTGTGAGCTGAGTACCAACTTCTCCCATCAGCTAGAAAACTCGTGAGCACTGCAACTTTGAATCAGTTACAATAGATGTTTAGCAGTGTTTGGGTATGCGTGGATTTGCAGAAACAAGTTCTACCTGAAGTCTCAGTGTTTGGTTTTCAGCCTTTGCTCCAGCCAGCTCCCGCTCCCTGTCCCTGAGTTGCTGCTCCGTTTTTTGGCAGGTACTCCGCAAAGTCTTTACCTCATCTTTTGCGCCTATTCTGTTCTGACAGTTCTCAATGAGTGATTTCTGTGAAGAAAAGGCACATAAATCAGTAACCAGTTGTCCAACAAATAAAAATCCTGACATCCTTTGTGACACTGATTTGTTACCTGCAGGCTGAGGTTTGCAGATATGAGGGAGCTGTTCATCTGATCAAAGTTGTCCATGGCTGCTGTACGGACCTTCACTTCAGATTCAAGACTTTTCCTCTGGGAGTTGGCTGCCTGCAGAAAACATGTTTTTTTTTTATATTATTATTTACAGGATTTATGTAATGAGTTGGACTTGAACAAAAGTTTTTATTTGATCATCTACCCTAATTTCCCGTGAGAGCTTCTCCATTGATTGCTGCATTCCTCCAAACTGGCCGTACATCCTTTCTCTCACCTTCTCTAGTGAGTCTCTCACCTGTTTGCAGAAAGCAAGGACATGCAGACGTTAGGACCAAAACTCCCTTGATTGTGTCCAATCGGGTTGTGCATCATGAAAGCTGGTGTGCTTCTGTGCTGGAGTTCACTCACCTCCCTGATGTACCTCATCTCATCATGAAGGTGGCTGACGGTCCACTCCCTCGCCATCAGCTCCTGCTGTCTGTCCGAGCTTGTCCTCTGCACTACGCCGTACACTTTGGGCCCATGATGCTGCAGCGAGGTCACAGGCACCCCATTGGTTGTGTCTCCGAGGTGCTGAGGGAGACAGGATCAGAGCGGTCAGGTTTCTGCTCCCAACCTCCACTGAGGCTGACTTACACTGTCCCTGAATACATGGTTTAATGTAGGCAGACTCTCTCAGGGTTATGTGTTTGCATATGGATGCACATATGTGCACTTGATTAGGTGTTCTTAGCGATGCTGCTGGTGAGCTTATGAAATAGGAGGTTGATAACAGCTAAAAGGGGTGCATAGTGCACAGACGGTGTCATGTTTCTGCATCCTAGAACATGAGCTTCTGCCATTTCTGCCTATTGTTCCTCTATCAGCCAACAAAAACAGATGCACAGGAACAGCATGGCACTTAGACGCTGAAATAACTAAATAGCAATAGGGGTTGGTGCAGATAAATTACTGAAGAGTGACTTAGATCCTGTTTCTCTGAATATTTTATATGTTCTTTGAAAGAGAAATTAGTGTGGTACTCATGCCTTAAAGTGAGTTGAGTCTAAAATGATTTATTATTCCAGCAGACAGCAATCAAAAATGTCATAGTGTAATATACCTATATGGGAAAACATTTATTGTACTGCTTTAAATGCTGTAATGGAAGAGAATAAAAGAACATTGAAAATATCTTTGTGCTGAAAAAAAGGATCTTAAATACATGCTACGCTCTTTGCAAGCATTCAGTCTCAAGAACAAAAGTTATCCTCTTTGCATAATCAGAATACAGGTCAAAACTTGGGAGTGAAAACGACGCAGACATTTGGCTACTTGGTAGGAGTGTTTGTCTGAAACTTAGTGTTGTTTTCAGTTTTCGCTGCCAGGAATGGGACACAGAAACCCAACAGCTGACATCCCAGGTAAGGCATTCGGTTTTTTCAGCACACCCAGATTAAATCGCAAAAAATCCGCCTACTCTTAACATTTCAACAGCTCAAACAGATGTGCTTTTCCTGTCGTGTTTAATTGTACTGTAGTTAATTAGCTCAACAATCCAATTGACCAAATTTTCTAAGGTACTCCTGGAACCAAAAGTAAAACTTATTTTATCATTACATTATTATTTTCTTATCTCATACCGTTACAATTGCAATGTTTGAAACAATGAATCTTTAGCCTAATAAACTACTGCCATACCACTGCCATGGTCTCACACTTCAGAGGCCATTCTGAAACCCCTACAGCAGTGGTCTCCAACCCTGTTCCTCAAGATCTACTGTCCTACAGATTTTAGATGCATCCCTGCTTCAACACAGCTTAATCAAATGATTGATTACCTTTTCAAGCCATTCATTTGATTAAGCTGTGTTGAAGCAGGTATGCATCTAAAATCTGTAGGACAGTAGATCTTGAGGACCAGGGTTGGAGACCACTGCCCTACAGTATCTCTTCAAGAAAACACTGAAAGTTCTTGACAAAAAGCCTTTAGATTATCAAAATTGTAACATTTTCAGTAAGTAGATTTTAAACTTTGAGTTATTTTTGGATGTGTGGATGTGTTTTAAATAGAGTTTTAAATGGACTTGCTCCTCCTCCTCTAACTGATTTTATAAGCAAAAAACCTATTACTAGAATAAACACCAGGGGTATAACCAGAGGAGACAGTAATGTTCAGCGGCGTAGGACCAAATTTGGCCTAATGGTTGCATCCATTAGATGAGCACAGTCATGGGACACACTGCCAGCTCATGTTATGGGTTGTGCAACCTACATAAGTTTTAAAATCTCCTTGAAACATTGGTTGAAAACTAAGCAGACATGCTCACAGTTGAACTGATCTGTTTCCTTGGGCCTGTTAACCTCATTTTATTTATGTTAGTGTCATTTTATCTGTTTGTGTCCACTCTGCTCTCTCCAATAGTGCCTTGTTTAACGTTCACTATTCTTACCTGCCTTAGGACAGCAGATTCAAATTAGCTGTTATTCTAAGTATAGCATATTTACATTGATGCTTTAAGCTTACATGTTGATGAATGTGAATTGTCCTAATTCAAATAAATAAATAAAAAATGATAATAAATCACTAAAATATTTCTCTAAAGTCTTACATAAGGATACAAATGTTCAGACTTCAGACTCCTGCATAATAAATTACATTTTAAAAAACATTTAGATCTCTGCTTCTTCATATGGGGCAACTCAGTCTAAAATAAATAAATGGACACAAAGCAGCTCAGAGAAAGTATCCTATATAGAAATACAACTCAGTTAGGAGGGAAATTTATAGGGCTGAAACAATTAATCAGATTAATTATGAATAATCGATTATTGAAATAATTGTCAATTAATTTAGTAATCGATTAATAAAATATACCTTTACATGACAGAGCAAGCTACTTAGACAGTAATAAAATCAAAATTGTAAAGAAAGTATATAAACATTTTGCATTTAACATTACAAAAAATTACTGTCAAAATGCTCTATCCAGAACTCCTCATGTGGAAAGTTTTAGTTTCACCTGGTTTTATTTTGTAAAAACTCTTTTTTAAGGAACCTTTGGCTATCCAAGTATTAACTCATTAATCAAAAAAAAACAATCGAGAGATTAATCGAGTTACAAAATAATCGTTAGTTGCAGCCTTAGAAATGTCCATTTACAGATCATTGAAATGTTTTCATATTTTATTAAGAATGACATCAGAACAGTTGTTCTAGTGTCAGATTAACTGAATGTTAAATTATCAAATAGCTAGTATATTTGTTGTTTTTATGACATAATTTCAGAACGTTTCTAAATGGTAACAAAAAAAATCGGAGCCATCTTCAGATTCAAGCAGATACAGAGCGTGCCTCTAGTTCATGTTGTGTCTACCTGCTGAGGCGACTCCATGCCAGCTGGACTTTCTCGGTGGATCAGCCCGTTCTTCTTTTTCCATGTTTCCTTGATGTGACTCTCACTCTGTGGAAAGAACCATTTAAAACATCATGAAAACATATATTCTTCCCTACAACCTGCTTTCTATTAATTACTTTCCTTTTCATTTCCACTTTTGTTGTCATTTTGATCAAAGTATATTTTTTGTTAGGACTGTTTCAGGAGAAACAAATGTTTACTATGGTGTCACTAAATGCCATCGCTGGTCACATCAATAACTAAAGTTGTTTATGCTCCCCTTTATGAATTTTATTGTTTGATGATCCTTAAATTATGTAGTGTATAACATAAAGAAAATATTGTTTTGATTTGAACTTTGAGAAACTTAGATCGACCTCAATGTCATTAAAGGGACAGTTCAGGTTTTTGGATGTAATATGTTTTGGACATCAATAATATTTTCTCGATCTTCCATTTTGATAAACTAACGGAAAATTGTCTACTTGTTTACAGCATCTGAGATGAAGGGCTGTGTCACGAGCTTGAGAAGGTGTGGATGCTGTAGTTAAATAAAAATATAACTACAGCATATACATACATATGCTGTAGTTATATATATACTGAGGATTCCTAGAAAAGATTAAAACAGAACTGACAAAGGCTCCTGGAAAGATGTTGAAACGTTTTCAGAAAAAACTGAGTGAACGTCTAGTTGACTGTTTTTAATGGTTGCAATGACCCGGATGACTGAGAATATACACAGGAAACTACTACAATAATGTCAGCCCTATTTTCAATTAAACTTTATTTTCAAAGTACTTAAAAAATAGCTACTAATTGAAACCAGTCTCATTCACCTCACAATAACGTCTACAAACTATTCCACACTAGTTCCCATCCCAGACGTAAGTATTAGTTATAAAAATTACCAATGATCTCCTGATGGCAACTGAACCCAATTTACCATCCATCTTCATACTTCTTTATCTAACTCCATTGTTTGATACCATTTCTACTGCTCTGCATCTTAAAGGATTATCCTTGCTTGGTATCACTCACTCCCCCTTCTCTACATTCTGCATTTTTAATTAAGTTTATGTCGTTTAAGTCCCTCAGTTCTGCTGTCACATCTGCATTGCCTCGGGGCTCTTTCCTAGGACTTTGACTCTTCAACACCTAGATTCTTGATTCTGCAATGTTTTTGATTAATTTAAGATTCATATTTTTGCTATATACCCAACTCTACGTATCCAGTAAATCAAATTATATATTTTCACCCTCTTCCTTTACCTCTTTTTTGTTTTAAATACGGTTATATCATATTACTCTTTAAACTTCAGTCAGCATTATCCAAAGTAGAAACTTTCCACTAGCATCTCCACTGTCTGCACAGTGTGTCATATTTAATAGCTCCTTATTTTTTATCTCTCACAATAACATCCCTTGTTCCGCATATTTTCATCAACTAGCTATTAATGGTCTTCATCCTTACTCCCCCTCAGTTCCCGCTCACAGCCTTGTTGTGGGACTTATTGTTTTACGACAGACTCCCAGCCCGAAAAACAGCATTGCTGGATCCCAATCACACTCAGAACAATTTCTGAAATCCTTCTGTTTGTATTCAATGTCATCTACAACCTCATTCTACCCATCATATCTCCTTTATGTTGCTCCATAGATCCTCCTTTATCCATTGCACTCTTTTCCCTTTAGCACAGGGGTGTCAAACTGGTTCCAGAAAGCATCATGCAGTCATCTCATCAAGTGAGTCCAATCTGAACATGATGACCTGATGAGATGACTGGAGTCTGGTGTGCTATTGCTTGGTTGGAAAGAAAACCTGCAGCCACACGGCCCTTTCTGGAACCAGTTTGACACCCCTGCTTTAGCACTATAAAGAGCCGAACTTTCTCTGTTCCTAAACTTTCCAACTGCCACCAAGCATCTGTAATAGCAACACTTTTCAAACTTCAACACATTTAAATATCGAGCTGTTCAAAACTGCTTGCTCCTTGTAATTGCATTGCCCCATATAGCCTAATTGATCATACTGTCTGCTTTAATCAAATTATTTTTTTGTCACAGGGTGTGGCAGCATCATTCTATGGGGACTTTTTAAATATCTTCAGATAGAGAGATGGATTGCACTAAATACAGAGTATTCCTAGAAGTTGAAGATAAATTCATACCACACATTAGCAGCACATCATGCTCACCTCATGTCGAACCCAACAAAAGCTATTGAAGATTGAGGTTGAAATGTTGAAAAATGGGAAAAGGTTGAATAGGATAGGAATACTTTAGCAAGGCTCTCTGAATTAAGGAAACTCACAGGAAATTGTGTGTTAAATTACCCTTACAAGCAGATATAGAGATTGGAATCAGCCATAGCTGCTTTAGTGTGAAAATTAAAAAAATAACCGGAAGTGAAGAGGCTTTTAGAACTCTGATGGGTTTCATGCTCTTTAAATGCATCTACAAAGTATTTTAATACTATAGGTCGTCGATTTGTCTTAAGAAGAGCTGAAAGAATAAAAACATACTAACAAGTATTTGGAGAGGGAGGCGACAATCTCACAGAGATAAGAACGAGGGCGAACAAGAACAAAGGCGCCAGTGTCTCTTGGAAGGAGCAGGGCCTCACATTTCACCACCACTTCATCTACAGAGAACGTGTTGTTGAAAAAGGGCAAAGGCACGTTGATCGGTGGGAATGTAAATTCCAGCACGTGATAGCGAGAAACAAACATCTTTATGATTAAATAGCTCACATGCAGTACTTTATTTGCCATCTAACATCTTTGCTTTGATCCCTGGATAATCTGGGTAAGGTGAAGATCACATGACTGGTCACTGAATGAGAAAGCTTCTGATTTCCAACAGAAACAATCAAGTTGCCTTTGACGTCACAACACAGAAGCCCTCTGATGAGTCAAACCTTAACTCTGCAGGTTCAGCAACAATTTACGTGCAGCTGCCTCGCTCTGTGCCATATTCACGATGCAAAAGATCACAATGTGACAGGAATGGATTGTGTCCACGATGAGTCAAGTTGTGGGCCACGCCCCTTCTAATTTTACAACATAAACCTGCTTCAGCCTTTGTCTCAAAACATTGGACCTCCTACTAGCAGAGTATTTTGGTAATTTCCTTCCTCCTTGATTAACTTCATAACTGCCTTGTATCACAAACAGACAGACCTTCATTTGAACTCCCTGCTGATTAGGCCAAAGATCATTGATAAAAGTGAAAAGAAACATGAAGGACGTTTGACACTGTGAAGGAATGCAGAATAATTAAAGCCTATGAGCAAATACCTGCAGGTCAAGAAACTGCTTTTGTTTTGTTTTCATCTGTTTTATATCTGCTGGAACCTGAGAGTTATTTTGTGAAATCTTTATGTCCTAAAAACTCATTTAGTTGACCTGGATTTCTTCTCAAACAGTCACTTCTTTTTAGAGTCAGCTTTTTTTTAATCTAAAATGAAACAGACACATTTATTAAATTTTTAGCACCTACAGGATAAAGAAAACTTGAGTTGCATCTGTGTTATCGTGTGTTATATTAAAAAACTACAGCCAACAGCAGTGCTTACTGATCCTTGGTGGAGTGATCACTCATGAAAACAGACGTCCTGTTCTCAGACCTGCTGATGTTTGACGAGCTGACGCCACATTTGTCGGTGTGCCAGAGTTACCACATCATTAAAGACACCAAGGCACACATCAGTGCAGAGCACATGTGTTTCCCTCCATACCATGTTTCCTGGTGTCTGTCCTTTTTTTCCCTCCTGCCTTCTCAGAAATTAAGCTACAGGAAAGAACCCCCCAATTTTAAAATGCATTTGCTTCATTCTTCCAGCTTTCCTTACCCAGTACATCTGTGCATTTGTGTCTCCCACCTGTTTTTTTCTAAAAATAATGGATTTTAACTATAAATGATATAAAAACACATTCAAACCAACTGACATCAGTTAAAACGGGTAAGTAGAAGGGATCATTTATAACCTGTTTGCTGTGATTACCTCACTATTACATACTGACTTCAAACAAAAAAAGCTTACCAAACATTAGCAGTTGACTACTGGTGGACCCTTACTTACATTTTGGTGCACAGCTTCCCTTACTGTTTTAAAAAATATATATTTTTAGAAATGTGCAGGCAAAAATCTGACTGCATCCTATTTAATATAACAGTATAGATCACTTCAACAGCAGCGGTATAAACGCATCACTCCGTTTTGGGTTTAGACGATCTGTTTGACCCAGTAGTAGTTGATACCCAAAGGAATTTTTCACAGATTTTTTTTTCTTTTTTATGTAAAATGCATTGAGGTGAAAAGCCTGATTTTTACAGGCCTAGACAGTCCAAACCTAACTTGATTTTATTTTTTGTTTTTCAAACAAAGTTAAATAGGTGTTTTTTAATAAAATTTTAAATATCAACGCTGTTTTTTTTTGTTCTTAAAATAAAAAAATCCTGGTTTCATTGTGATTAACCTAATAATATGTACTGTACAAAGATGTTATTTTATAAACTGTTCACTCCCACATCCAGAGTCGATATTAAGTTCAGGTGTTTCAGCCGTTACAATGGTGGCAGGAAGGCTGCCAATTAAAACATCTGTAGAGGATGCCAAAAAGTCAACTAAATATAAATAGCCAACTCCTGGTTGCACAATAACAAAGTTTTAATAATAAAGTTGTGAGTAACTTGATTCAGTTGATGCACTCCTCCAAACTTCATGTTTTCCTCAGATTGAAGGACAATGAACTGACATTTGAGTGTCAGGCCGATGCAGTTTGTATAAGAGCCCACCATTAGAGGATGCATTTCCTCCAGAATACTGAGGACCAAAATAATGTTGAAACATCATTGGGTTACATTTAAATGATGACAGTATGTAGCCATTTAAGTCTAGATCGGTTTCCAAAGCCCAAATAGTCTTGTCAGATTATAGCCATCCTCTACACACCCAGTTTAATCTCCTCCCTTCAGGCAGGACATATTCTCTAACTTTAAAACAAAGAGAATATGGAACTCCTTTATCCCTACAGCCATTGATTTTTTTTTACAATCTATAACATTTATCTCCCAAATCAAGACCAAAATCTAACTGAAGCAGATTGACTTTACTTGTGTCTCAGGACTCAGATCAGGACTCTTCCGCCAAGAAAAAGTTTAAATTGAAAATAATGCCATCATAAAACATCTTCCTCTGATCAGCCTTAGCTTTCATTAAGTTTTTAGTGTATATTGGTAACAAATAAATGTTCTTATTTGTTACACAATGCACATCTTCTGAGAAGCTTTGTGGGTTCTGCATTGTTGCCTTTCCTGTTTGGCTGAGCTTCTGCAAGGCCTGTTGATTTACAAAAAGTGGGATGTGCAAAACCAGCAAGACAACGAAAAAAGAAGCATTGATTTAAGAAAATATAGGGAAAGGTTATTCGTTTTAATTAACAGAGTACTGTTCTGAGATTTGTTTCAAATTTGGGCAAACATAAGTGCTGGATTGAATCAACTTACAATAAGGTTATTAATGTATCATTATGAAGGGAGATTGGTTATTTGAGAGCTTTACATGATTATTCGAAAAATCTTTTTCCCTTAAAGTACAGAAATAGAATCTTCCATTGTCATGGTCCCACTCTCCCAGAGGAAAAGGGAGATTATTGAAGCATATCTGAGTGGAGGTGTGGCAGCAAGATGACCACCACGCTACCAGGCCAAGGTTGACACAAACCATGCAGTCAGGCTGCTGCATGAGTGAAAAAAGTAAAAGTCTCATGAGAGCCAAAAAAAAGCAAAAGGAAAGTTCTCACTTCTCACGCTCTCACTGACTTAGGACCAGATCTGCAACACAAACAAAGGCTGTTCAAGAGCCACCTACGGCAAACACCCACACAGCCTGCAGCCATCATAATTCACACAGTTACCTTTAAAAATGTTTTAAACTTTGAAGCAAATGTTTCTATTTCCTGGTTCAACTGATCTGGGTTTTGAATATTTTCTCCTGGATAAACCCATCTTGCGGCACGTTCTGACTTTATCTCTGTAGTAAATGTGAAACAGCTGTTAGTGTATTATCAAATACACACGCCCGTCTTCGGTCACAGTTGCATAACTGGACCAGATGATAAAAAACATAAATCTCAGACGCTCCGACATCTTTGTTTTAATGCTTTAGTAACACTATGTGACTAAAGTAAAAGTATCCTAGAGTAAAATAGGATGACGGACTTTCATTTAATTGAGGTGTAAACTGTCAAAACAGGGCTGTTTTGAAAGGCTCGTAGGGACCAGCATGGCTTATTTAGGAATTTCACTGTGAGAGACGTCAGACTCACTGTGTCTGCAGATTTTTCCTCCTTGTTTTCATTATTTCCTGCGAGCAGAGTTAGCCTGAGAATCCTCCTCTGGAAAAGCAAAAACAAACAAAAGCAATCATTGTCATGACAAAACGTACATTTGTTCTAAAAGGTCTCTAAACAAGAAGGTAATAGAGGTCCCCAACCATTCACATTCACCACCATCTCAGCTGTTTATTTATAGACAATGGACAGCAAACAACATTTATGCAAATTATCTGAAACTGTAAAAAGGCAACATCTTTCACACCATGTGCATTACAGTAAATTCCTTGTTGAGGTTCATTTCTAAGCAGAAAGTTATAGCATTTAATCCTGTTTATTTCTGTGATGAAGGTAATTATGCATTGTTTCATGTATAAATGAAAAAGCAGAGAACAAAGGCCTGTTTCATTAGAGAGCTTTTCAAATAAACATGACATCCCTTCCTGCTGCTCACTGGGTTCCTATCCTACAGCAAACTATAATCCACTGACTGAGAGAATGTAAATGTTAGGCGAGACACTATGAGAGAGTTGAGAGAAGGGAGGAGAACGACTGCAAACTTGGAGAAAAAGAGTTGGGTTTCATCGCCTTGGGATGTCTTACCTCACTTGAAGGCTTTGCAGGGTCCTCTGTGGTGGTGGTGGTGGTGGAAACCGTTGGTCTTGAGCCGTAGCGAAGCATGTCTCCTTTTCTGCCCAGTCTGTGCCTGTCTTCGTCTCCTTCTCTCCAGCCCCCACTCTCTCCCACCCTTCCTCTCCTTCTTCTTCCTGAGTTCTGCTCAGGCTTTCAGACCGACCATCTGCCCCCGTCTCCAGGCAGGGAAGAGGAGGGAAATTCCACTCAGTCAAGCCTACAGCTTTGGCTGGAGGTGGTGCTGGGAGTCCACAGGGCCCTGGGGTTCAAAGGTCCCTTACCTTTCTGTCAGTCAGTGACTAGACCGGATCCAGCCTTTACTCACTGCAACATGAACACATCTGTCTTCATATCTCATTCTCTGGGTAAGAGTCCTACCGGCTGGCAGCAGGGTTGTCAGTCACCTCCCCTTCTTCTATCTGGCACTGAGTTCCCATCAGACCTGTCGGGCCACATTTCACCTGCCTCCGTCTGCTGTGTTTCTCCTGCCCTGAGAGCTGGACTTTCACAGGGCGGGTCCACCTCCCCAGGCTGGGACAGGTGGAGCACCTCTTATCAAATAGGAGTGGCTGCAGTCCGGAAAACAGACTTCAACATTAAGAGCTCAGTTTCATATGATATATTCATTTGAGTTGCACACATATAACAAAATGTAGCTCTATTTTTTCAACTAATCAGTTATTTTTATTTATATAGCATCAATTTTCACCAACTATCTCAACTCGCTTCTTAGACAGACAGGCTCAGTTTATATCAGAAAGAATACAAAAAACGTCAGTCTTAGACATTCACATTTTTTTTTTTACTTACATCTACTCCAATCTAATCCAGATAATTTAACATGTTCTAGGTCAGGTTAAAAGTAATCCTTCACAGCATGTTTGCTCTAACTGGGGGAATAACTAACATAGGGTTGACCACCCAGAGTGCAGTCTTTAATGCGATAGAAAATCTATGGCTGGAGCTATAGATTAGGGTGATGGCAAAGAGGCCTTCCAACTCCAGACACTTGGAGCTGAGTTATAAGATTGTTATGGTTGAGGATTACCATGCAGCCACAGATTATTTGGATTGATAACTTTCAAAATATTATTTTTCTAAATATTAAAATAAATCACAGATTAATGTTATATAATCCTTTTACATTGTTTTATTGTACTTTAGGAGTTGCCAGTCTCATCTGATGCATGCCAGATACAAAGTATAAATCTAAATCTATCAGTGTGCATTACTTAATTGAGGGGGTAGTGTTTTAAATAAAGCCCAGCTAAATGCATGATTCATTGACTTTGCAGCAAATCTGAGTAAGCATTTTCCCTTCGCTCAGTAATCAATAAACCGTACTTCCCTTAAAGAAATGCTCCAAGTTTGAAGTTATGGTATTCTCTGATTATGTTTTGTTTCATTCAACTCAGTTTTATAATTTAATTTCATTTAGGAGGAAAATATCAAAATCTTACTTGTATATGTGAACACAAATGATGCTTCTTCACATTTATTACCTAATTTTTCTCAAATGTAAAAGCTTATATTGATGACTTATTACCATCAGAGTGCCTATATCTCAGCTCCCCCTTTAATCAAGGTTTTAACTGCATCATTAACACATGAATGAGGAATCGAGATGTAATCAAAGAAACAAGTGATTGTTTTTCATCTTTTTAGTGCATTTACCTTTTAAACTTTTACGCTACTTTTTATTTTACTATTTAATCTAAGTAATCTAAAAGCATTTTATGTCTCTTTTAAAGGGGTAAACATGTCAGAAATGTGTTTCCATCATAGACTCAGGCAGGATCCTGTGCTTGAAGAGTGCCCAGCTTATAAATAATTGATACTGCTGACAGTGGATATTGATGAAAAGGATCACAGCCATTATTCTTTAATGATATTTATACCTGCTACCTTGCCAACAACAGTTCGCCTGGTGTTTTAGCTGTTTACACCACATCATGCTCTCAGTTATCTTAGCAGAGGGAAAGGGCAGTCACACTGATCCCGTTCTACCTGTGAATGGCCTGCAGTCACTCCCTTTTCAATGAAAAAACACACAGAGCCGCTGAAGAATGGGGAAGGGTTTCAGAAGACTAGAGTTGTCCAACAAGAGCTTGTTTAGCTGCTTGTAAAAGCTGACTGTAGGTACCGGAATACAGCATGTTATTACAAGCGAGTGAAAGGAAAATCTGTAGATTGTTAATCAGTAACCAGACATCAAACAAATGCTGTTTTTTTTATTTTACAAATGGAACCAGTGAGCCGGTCACTGACCCAAACATAGGTCCAGCTTTAACATCATGCGGCCTTCTTCTCTTATAAATCTGTAATTTTTCCCTTCTTGTCAATCTTTACACTCTCATTTTTCATGATGAGACAGCAACGCAGCATTGGTTTCAATCCAATGTGGTAGGATAGGAGTGTTTACACTGTTACACCCATAAAACTCCACTACAACACAAGTCATGCCAACAAGCAGAGAGATACTTGAACTTTTTCTGAAATGCTTTAAATAACCGTCTCCAACTGATACAGATGCATACTTTTATACAAGGCTGTTTAAAATTGAAATAAATCATTTATTTCACAGTAGCATTTAGGAAGCTGTGGTTTCAAAGTTACTTTTTAGAACATTTAATATTTTCAACTGTCAGACAAATTGCTGGAAACCATTTATTGTTTACTTTTCTTTCCAGTTTACTGATTGGTAAGGTAATAAAAAAGTAATGGCTTAAATACTTCAATCCTACTCACATATTACAGGATCATTATGTGCAGCCTCTCAGTGTTTAATGTCTGAATAAAAGGAGTTAAAAAGAGCTGTCTGCTTTTTTACCCCTTTAACATAATAATAATTGCAGGCCCACAAACCCAGGCTGCTAATGCAAAGTTAGGCAACCAGCAGAAGCCTTCTTGCAAGCATCGATGTTGTGGGATCTTAAAGTTTTTCTGATGCATTTATTGAGAAATTTTCTAAGTTCAAGCAAAGCCTTAACATTTACTGTGTGAAATGTAGATATTAAGGATGTCTGGAGTTCACCCTGGCCTAAAAAAATAACAAATAATAATAAAAAAAGCCTCATTGTTGGTTGTTAAAGATGTCTTAATCCCAAAAGTGTGCAATTGAGTAGGGGAATTTTAAGAAATGTGCATGTATATCTGTGCACTAAAACACCCCAGGCTAATAATATAAATGAATGGGGAAAAGAGGAAGACACAGAATAGATTATGGTTATTAAGTTTTTTGGGAAAATTAATTAAAATTATGGATGCTTTGTTAATTTGAAACCAGATGTAACTTAAACCTGCCTTTAAATTTGGCTTTTGTATTATTTGCTCACAAAAGTAATCCAAATCTGACGCAGCCTCTTTGTCTTCTTTTTATTTTTGCTAAATTTTATCAACCTTGAAATTTTTTTTAATGGATATCATCATGAAATCGCAACTTAATAGCAGATTTTTTATTAAATCCAGTTATTTTATTGGAGGTAAAAATTAGATCTAATTGTCAAAAAGAAAAAAAATAATTGTAAAGTGTTTAATTTTGCTGGATTTTTAGGCATATAACCCATGCACAGCTATAGAACTATCTGAAAAAATGAAGCCTGCATTATAGCGCAGTTTGTAGTAGTGTTGCCTTGCAGGAGAAATGTCCTGGGTTCAATACCTGGCCTGGAGTGTTTCTGCATGTTCTCTCTGGGTACTCTGGCTCCACCCTTCAGTCCAAAAACATAACTGCTGGAGAAAGATGCCAGCTGTCTGTGAACCTCATAAGTGTCAGAAAATGGGTGGGTCAAAATAATGATGTCACATCACTTCCTATAATGTACAAACTCCAGCAAGTTCTGTACTGAAAACCAGTAAACCAATGTTTTATGGGATAAATCCTCTAAACTTCTTTTATTCAGATCCTAGATGACTGTACAAATGTATGATTTGTCTAAAACATTTGCATTTATATACTTACACAAGAAGCATTTTGATGCAATAAGGAAATTCTCTTCCTATCAGTGATAACTTAGCATTATAAAGAAAGAAGGATATTCGGTATAGCTTCCTTTTCAATGCAGCCCTGCAGCTCTTAGCTCTTATTGAATTATGTCACTTTGAGACATAAAGGTTTTTTATGATTTATAACTAAGCTTTTCACTAAATGTAAGAAAATAATGATCATTTAAAAAAAAGAAAATATCTGATGTAATTTTATTGCAACATAGGTTTGATGTAAATTATTGTTATAAAAACTGATACAGTAAGTTGGTTGATAACATTTCGTTCAGTTAAAAAGCTATGTGCTTACATGCATACCTGCACGCACAAAGCTTTTCCCCAGAGGAAATATTTGCATTTGTTATCTTGCTAAATCAACCTCAACATTAAACATGATTTTAATAGTTTATAAGATAAAGTTCAAACATATTTTTTGTTGCAAATTTGTCAGGAATGAAGTCCAGTTGATACGTGCAGCTGAGGATCTCTGTGCCCCACTTGCGAGGTGAGTTTATTGTTCGCTGCAGCCTGCAGGCCACAAAGCAGGTGTTTGATCTGTTCCCCTGCAAGGAGCTGTTTGTTTGGAGTACAATTAGTTACTGAAGCCCATGACAATAGCTTATTCTTGGAGCTTTAAAGATTTCAGTTTTCAAAAACTGCCAGAAAAAAAAGCTTACACAGATATATGTGTTGATCATGCAAAGTACACAGTGTTGTTTTCCCTGGAAATTAAAATGCAAAACGAAGGCTAGTGTTTATTCATGTATCGCATCAAAGTTCAGTCAGTGCTGGGCGCTCCAGTGTATTACCTGGTTTCTATTTCCTCTTGCTCTATTCAGAAGCTTTGCCAATTCACTCTAAGGTCAAATATACTATTAACTATATACTTATACAGTTTGTTTTCTATTTGCTTTGCAGCCCTACACTGGCCATACATTAAAGTTGCTGTATGTATGCGTCTGTCTGTGTCGGAGAGGATAGGAGAAGCACACAAAAACCTGTTGAAATGGGTTGAAAGGGGCTGAGATAGGAAGCAAACTGGAGGAGAGGTAGATGATGGCAGCAGCACTCTAGAACAGCCCACTGACTCAAGAAAAAATGAGGACTGAGTTTGCAAGCTTGCATGAAGCTTGAAGGTAATAAAAGTGGCTCATGTGAATTTCCATTTAAAACTGGCTTAGATTTTTCATTCTGTGTAATTGCTGCACAATATAAATATAAAATGAAGAATTCTTTATAAAATGTAGAACATTATGGAAAGCATCCTCTACAGTAGATAGTTAACAACAACGTGTCTTAAGTCAGAGGCTTCTCCAGATCTGGTGTAAGACAGACCACTACAGAAGATCCGTCCTGCCTACAGCTATGAACACCTACAACACCTGGTTAAAAAGAAAAGGATGAGTTAAAGTTTAACCTCCCTTTGGGATTGATAAAGACACTTTTAACTTGAATTGAATAAATATAAAGCTTTAGATTAATTGATCTATATAAAAATGTTACAAATGAGTCTGTT